TTAATGAAGATTCTCATTGGACTTGTTAAAGTGCTATTCTTTTGGGTTCTCTTTTAGCAGATTAGCTTTTCTGTTGCCTTCAAACAAGAGTAAACAATTGTCACCTAACATTACCTTTGGATGTTTTAAATTTATTAGTGCATTGGTTTGATTCGGTTCTATTGTTACATTAAAGTTCTGACCTAATTCTCAATAAATTCATATTGGGGGAACTTCTCTTTGGATCTCTATTTCATTTATGTGCTAATGTGCAGTTGGTTTTTGCTCTTGTTGATCAGATTCCTTTTAAAATCTGTATGCATTTAAAAAAAGTTAAACATCTAAATGAAGTTAAAGCTGATTTGTAGTGATTGCTACTGTTTAGACCATTTGCAATGTTTACACATGATATTCTGCTCATCTTTGCAGGGATCTATGCAACATCTTTGGCTGCCTTCTAGAACCAGCTACTGTATGTAATTTTATTTTTGGATCTTTTGTGTAAACATCTTACATTCACTTTTCTTTTTATTTTACTTGCATGTGTGCTATGTGTTTCAATATTTAAAAATGTATGTATGTTAATATTTTCACTTCATATAGATGTTGAATAGGATTCTATTTACTACATATAATATTCAACAAATATGTCAAAGTTTGGTAGATATTTTCTTTTCTTTTGCTCAAGATGAAATTTGAGATGAAAGAAAATCTTAATGAACCAAGTTCACATGATGAAGATCAGGCAACTTTAAAGTTTTATGTTAATTGGAAAAAAGTTAGTCTAGGCAGAATAACACAAGCATGCATCTGCAAAAAATCTACAAAACTGCAACAGCCTCTACTCCAATGCAAAGCCATAAAACCCACTATAGTGTATCCCTTCCAGAACCAGTAGTGCTGCCTTCCATGGAACATCTCCACGGACTTTTGCTACTTCATTCTTCACCAAGATTGTGAAATGAAGATGAAATATTCATTGTCGTTATACAGTGCTGATTAAATACTCGATTCATAGAGAAAAGGATAATGTAGGGACAGTTGAGACTGAGATTTGATTTTCTGACCTCATCTTCACTCTGTTATAGAGTCAATGGAGGGAAGTGAACTTTGCATTCCTCCTCTTGTCTCATTTTATTTTATTTTATTTTTTAAAACTCTATTGTTAATTGCATTTTGCTAAACTGGTCCCTTGTTTTTTCAGCTTCCAACGCAAACCTACATGGCAGTGGTATGAAAATTTCTTGTAGTATTGCAGTTCTGTAACAGTGTTCCCATATAATTTCTGTAACTTTGTTCTTTAATCTATCAGTTTCGTATTGATTTTTTTCTGCAGTTCTTTACATTGACTACTTTCGGTCTTGCTGGGCAAGCATTATACTATAGTCATATCTATCCAAGGCTGAAGTCCAATAGAAGGTGGCATGAGGTTGCAAATTGTTCTTTCATTCTAACTCATTTTTTACTATTTATTTATATACGTCTTTTCCTGGTTATTCATTATATTCTTTAGTTCTATTCACAATGCTACTACAGTCAGAAAAAAATTATTTAGAGAATTAGAGGAACTTTAAAGTGGTTGGATTTTATTTTAACTTAGTGCTTTCTTGATATGTAGGATAGGATTGCAACATTACACACCCTCCCTCTCTCTGTTTTTAATTTTTATGTTCTCAGTACAATTTAAGACAATCAACTAGAAGATGTATAAAGGAGGGATAAGAGAGATTAGACCAACTGGAAGTATAGTTTAGGACACAGTATGCACACACACACATATTCTCTTTAGATAATGATAGAAAAAGTACTTTTGGTGATTTTTTTTCCTGGTTGTTTCACATGCTTCCATGCTTGTGCTCTCATGTCAACTATACATAAACTATCATCACAAATTTAGAGTGGTGATTTTTTTTTCTTCTCACTAACGGATATTTCATTTTTAAATTATATATCCACTTTATCATTGTTTTATCTGTGTACACTTCTGATACCCTGTGCATCCAAACTGCTACATGGATCTCAAGGTTAGTGAGGATGGGGCATATGAAAAGGGAACAGAGCATAATGGTACAGAGAACAAAAAGAGTAATCATGTCAATGGACTGAAAGATGGAAAATCCCTTTCTGCATACGGTGCCCTTCCTAGCTCACCAATTCCCCTGCCAAACTGTTCTCCCAGTGCATTCTCAGAAAGAGATTTATATTACATGTATGTGGCGATCCCCTTTGAGCTTTTATACTCTGTATACTTATTTTGGAGTGTTTGAATCTATAAATGTGCATGTGTGTGTTTGAACACAAATATATACAATAATATTATTGAAAGTATGACTTATGATCGTCATGTAATAGAACAGCTAGGGTATCTTTGTTGCACAACTGAGTATAGCTAGCGACTCTTCACATTCTCAGGAAGTAGGGTCTTTTTGAGAAGTAACTTTTGTGAAAAAATGCTGATGATCTGTTTAACTATTGATACTTTCCAGGGGTTGTGGTAACATTGTGCTTTTCAGTGCATAACCTTCTTAGTCTTGCTGCTTTGGAGAGCTCAGCTTAGTTAGAATGCTGAAAAGCACATCTATGCTAGGTCTATTCATTTTCTATCCTTTATTGTTTCTATTAATAGCTCACAGCAACTTGCACCCCTCCACCGCATCTTAAGCACCCAAAAATAGCCTAGCTTTGCGGTACAATCATTTAACTTTAATAATAAATAAGAAATAATGTCCCCATCCTCACATCTTCAGTGGGAATTAATGAATTTAATTCCACTTAAATCTCTGATTAATGCATACTTGAATTTACTTGAGAAAGTCATACAGCTAATTTTGAACACAATTATATCCAGTACCGTAGAAAGTACTTGAAGATGAAAATATTTAACACAACCAAATTTGTTTATTATAACAAAGCAAAGAATTGGAAAATTATAGTTGTAGATAATTGTGGTGCTTTATTGTTGTGTTCTTTTAAATCTGAACACAACTATCTTTCTGCAGAATGCAGATATTGTTGTGTTTGAATGTGCTGTGAGGAAATTCTGTTTTGTTGATTTATCAGGTCTGCCCGATCTCTGTCAATGAGTCACACTCCTCCAGTTGGATCTTTTCCATCACACAGAACACTTTACACAGATGCTGAGCAGGATTCTGTTACTGCGCCATTGCTTGGTGAAGTGGAGCCAGTTCATTCTCCACCTGCGCCCAAAACAAAAAGCATGCTTTGTGTGGTGAGCTTTATTAGGAATAATATTTTCTAATTGCTATAAATCAAATTAGTTCTTTTCATATATCTAGCCTTTATTTTATTTATATTATTTATTTTTTCAGGCTTCCTTATTAACATGCTTCCTTGGTGGTTGGAAACGCCATCAAACAAAAAGCACAAATAGTGGACTGATTCTTCAAAAACAAGCTGGAGAAGTTGTGCTGTTTGGTAGAAAGCTTTTACAGGTAAAAATAAAAAACCTGAGGAATAACTGAATGTAAAGTTGTAAACTAGATTATAATTGTATAGTGAATTGCCTAGTACTTTATATCAGATTGGGAACACAAATTAAATTCTCCCTTGAGCATGATCATCTAAAGCTCTGCTTGTGTGTTTTTATGTTACTAGTATTCACATGCTTGAACTTCCAGAGTTGTGTATTGTGCTCATAATAGACTGAAAGGCCTTGAGTTTGAACTTCCATAGTTGTATATCGTGCTCATAATAGACTGAAAGGCCTTGTGTTTGACTGGGATTACAGGAAAGTGGTGGTTTTCTGCTGAATAGCCAATCCAACCAGACCATTGGGATTGCAGCACTTTTTGGCTGGGGAATGGCAATTATTTACATTGGTGGACGCCTGCCGCAAATTCGCTTAAATGTATGTACTGAATGGAGAAGTTTGCAATACTAAAATTGCATCTCATAGCATATGCATTGTAGTTCTGCTAGTGCAACCTTTCTCCTTACAATTTACTGAGTTTATTGCATAATCATGATCTGCTTTTTAGCTTGAGTTCAGGATTATTTAAATTACTATGTCATATTGTGAGACTAACTTTGTGTTTGTCTATGTTTTTGTCCTAATTTTGCAGTTCAGGAGGGGAAATGTTGAAGTAAGCATGCTCTACATTTTGCTTCAATTTGGAGCTAGTACCATATCCAAGTCTCATAAAAGTGGACACTCCAGACATTTATATTTAAATGACATGAACTGATTTGCCTAGTACACTCAGGAATACCTCAATCTGCCGAAACCCTTTCTTTCCAGCAATTGGCATATTGGATGTGCACATTGCACTCCCTAAATTATAACTGAGGCATATCTGTCTAAACTCTGTTTTTTTTTGGTCCAACTTAACATTATTTACTTACCCTGTCCTACTTGAACACTGTGTGTCTTTGATCCCTCCCACTTTTCTAACTATGCATCACTTAAATATGGTTGTGTGCTTGTGTATATATTTATATATAGGTTGGGCCCAGTCTGCAAGCCTCCCACAAATTTTGTCTTCTGATCTGCGCCTACTAGTAATGGCCACAAATTAGCTGCCTCAATAAAACAATCTCCATGCGTGCCTGAAGATCATATTTTGAAACTAACATTTCAATACTAGTCTACAGTTTTCTGTTAATGCTTTTATGTGTAATCTATATGTGTGCATGAAGATCTTATATCTGAATCGCGGGCAAATTTTTGAATACTAGGAATGCATAATGTTGTTATGTGTAAAGTACTGATGCTGTTGCGTAAACCATCTTGATAACAATTGCATGATAACTTGCAGGGGCTAAATCCACTAATGTTCATGTTTGCTCTGTTTGGTAATGTCACATATGTAGCAAGGTGAGTAATGTCTCCAACCTTCTTTTCGGATTTCATACTTTTAAAAATAATGAACTAATTTTATTAGCGTTTGTAAATGTGTTTTGTAGCATTCTTGTCAGCAGCCTGGACTGGTCAAAACTTGGACCAAACATGCCCTGGCTGGTTGATGCAAGTGGATGTGTACTCCTTGATACCTTAGTATCCTTCTATATTCACAATATTCAAGTTAGATTACTTTCTATCTAGAGATTTTCCTGATCAATATCAATTAGAGAGCTCTCTTTTAGTTTTCTATATGCACAGGCCATGCAATCTTTATATTTCACTCCCATATTTTGCAGTTGAAGCATGGAACACTCAATTGAAGATATTTTATTTCCACTTCTGTGTTTCACTCTTTGCATAACATTAGTGCAGGATGGCCATCATGGCCTATTTGGCTGTCCATGTACACGAGACTAATGAAATATGCAACTCCTTAACAGCTTGTTCAGATACTAATTCAGTTCTTCTATTACCGTAATCGTGTATCGGATAAAGTAGCGAGTAAGCATGAAAATGGCAGCCCTTAGAATTGTCCCCAAGAAGAACATATTTTGCAGGTAACATCTTCTCTTCCAAAAAATAGTCCTTAATCTTTCATCTTTGCAAACATTATTCTGTAGATGAAATATCCTAAACTTGGTACCATGCTTTATATTTTGCCCTTTTCATGAATCTGAAAATCTGCAGATTTAAACACCTCACACATTATGTTCTTTTGCTTAGAAGATAGGTTTCTAAAATGGGTGTTATAAATCAAATACATCACACGATTTTTGACCGAAAGTCATATCTTAAGATAGAGTGTCCATTATCAAGTTTTTCCTGGATTTCTGCTGCTAATTTCTTCATCATGATGATTGGATCTCCCTTCTCCAACTATTTTCAGGTCAAGTGAACCAACCAATATTTGGATCATACTACATCTGACTGCTGTTATTTCTTGAAAAGCTGGGGAAAGCCATAGGGGCAACCTCTCTACAAGTACTGCACTTTGCATTGCACAATGAACTTGTTGTCAGTGAAGCTAGAGATATTTTTCGTTTTCTCGTTTACTATTTGTTAGAGCCATTCTTTCTTGTATGGGTCAATTTTGTGTATGATTGCTCCTTAGAGACATATATGAAGTAACTGGAAGATTTTGCCTTCAAATTTCAACTGCTATTTTCTGGACAACTATTCCTTTTGGTTTCATTTTGTTTTTTGATTCATAAATTTTATATATCTTATAATTGCATTGGACTCTGAAAATTGAGTTACACTATACACCTAGATTGATGGTGTACATTATTTTACTATATTTTAGAACATTCCCATTAGGTTGTTTGGTAGTGGTAGGAGAAATAGAGAGTGAATATGGCAAGCATGCAATGTGCATGTGCCTAGTGGGTGTGTGTTCATGCACTCGTTGAACAATTCGAGTGGTTGGTTGGTTGCCCGATCCTTTTTTCTTTTTATATTATTTTAATTTTTTTTCTTTATATTACATTGGGGCATGCTTTTAGGGAGAAAACAGCATATTTGGTTTGTATGGGGTGATAACTCATTCTTTAAGCGAAATATATATTAAGATAGGTCTAAGTCTAAAACGCGAGATAAAGACGCAAAAGGAGCAGAAAAACAATTTCAACAGCCAGACTTGAACAAGGCCTCCCGAGCTAAGAGATGGGCAGCCTTATTCGAAAGGTTGAGGTTATTGAAACCCCTAGCTAAGACTCTAATGTCATTAACAAGTAAATCAAAAATGGTTGAAATTCGTCAAACTAAGGGTGTGTTTGGTTCATAGATTTACACATTATGAATGAGAATCAGAATCATACTTGGTGTTTGGTTGACAACTTTTTAATACACAACCATGAAATTTGATTACTCCTTCAATTAAAAATCTCATTCCCCAATTTTAAAAAGGTATTATTCAATCTTATTGGTAATCTAATTTTTAAGTTTAGATTAATACTTTTAGATTTTTGTTTTAATTTTTTTACTCATATTGATGCTTTGGATCATTGGATGTCATACACAACCAAATATATTAATATTAGTAATCATTAAATTTCACCCTACTACCAAACATGTCATTACCACATATTTGATTTCCATTTAGATTATGATTCTCATGTGCGAACCAAATACACCCCACATCTAGTGGAATATTAACCAAAATGGTTAAAAGTTAAAACCATCACTTTGGGACCCCCCCCCCACACACACAAAAAAAAAAAAAAAAAAAGACTACAAAATAGACATGATTTGAGTATATAATTCATGACTAAATATGTCATTTTATCGTACTAAAAAAATAAATATGTCATTTTCTCGATTTTAGACAATGAATATTGATTGAAAGAAATATTCATTGTCAGAAGTATTTTAAAAAAAAATAATAATGAGCATTAATAAGGCAAATTATATTATCGACCGTGGTCTACAATGCATTATGGTCCAGGCGTCAAATATACTGCAGTTTCATTTCAACACAGCTATAATACATTTTGATATAACTAAAGTTTTGCTGGACAATATACACTCAAATATGTGAAATTGTTATTCAATTTCATTTTGTATACACTGCAGTTTTATTAAAACACAACTACAGTTTTATTTCAATTCAATTGCAGTTTCATTTAAACACAATTACAGTTTCATTTCAATTCAATTGCAGTTTCATTTAATAATAATATAATAAAAATAATACGTGAGACCGTGTCAATTTAGATACACTATAGCGTCTGCCGTTTTTGACCATGTCCACCGTATAATTGCTGCATTAATAAGGCAATTTATATCCTACACCACGGCGCGCGTTGCACTATGCGCCCAGATGCAAAACGACGTCGTTTTAATTTTTTTTTTTTTTGAAATTTCCCGTCCCAGTAATGGCAGTAGTTTTTTCTTTTAAAAAAAACCCGCTGTTCAAGAATGTACATAATGTTATACTAGAATACACATAATTGTATACATGAATGTACATAATTATATAACAAAATATACATACTCTTTTTAAAAGATAATACACATAATCTAACATAATAAACATAAACTTTTAACATAATACATATCAACTATTAACATAATACACACAAATTTTCTGATTCGGATGTACATAATTGTATAAAAAATGTACATAACTGTATAAAAAATGTACATAACTGTATGAACCAATACACATAACTGTATGAACAAATATACATAACTGTGTGAATAAATACACATAATCCCAGCAACTTCCTACCGCGCCTCCCAAAACGACCCAAAACGACGTCGTTTTGGGAGGTGCGCGGCACACAGTGCTATGTGCGCCGTGGTGTAGGGTATAACGATTGCATTAATAAGTGTTGGGCTTCTTAATTCTTTTGATAATAGATTTGGGCCGAGGGAATCGGGTTAGTCCGAAATTGTGTTTTGCAGCGGATCTATGTTAGTCTGCTCTACAGATTCCAGAATCCTCAGGGGCATAGAGCAAAGCATAAACCCTAGAAACAGTGAAAACTCCCGTTCCCATCTCCTCCTGCAATGGCGAAGAAACGAAAGGCTTCATCCTCAGCAACGAATGCCCAACCTGTAGAAGAAGAAGAGCACAACCCCAATGAAGAGCCTGAATCCGAACCAGATTCTGATCCTTCGGAAGAAGAAGAAGAAGACGACGAGGAAGAAGAATCTGGTTGTTCGGAAGATGATGAGGGGGAAGATGAGGCTTCGAAGCGAGAGAGCATCAGAAAACTCCTCGAACCATTCGGCAAAGACCAGATAATCGAGCTGCTCAAGCAGGGAGCTTCGAAGGATCCGTCTTTGCTTTCGCGGATCGCTCGGTTAGCTGACTCCGACCCGACACACCGCAAGCTCTTCGTTCGCGGCCTGAGCTGGGACGCTACTACGGAGCAGGTGCTGGATGCTTTCCGGACCTACGGCGAAATCGAGGAGTGCAAGCTCATCACCGATAAGGCCACAGGCCGGAGCAAAGGCTACGCGTTTGTACTGTTCAAGACCATGGCCGCCGCTCAGAAAGCCCTTAAGCAGCCGCAGAAGAAGATCGGCAACCGCACCGCCTATTGCCACCTGGCTGCCGCGGGCCCCACCGCTGCCGCCGCGCCCGATGCCGGAAGCCGGAAAATATATGTCGCCAATGTAGGCCCCAACATAAACGTTGAGGATCTCCATACTTTCTTTTCCAAATTCGGCGAGATCGAGGAAGGACCAGTCGGTCTCGATCCGGTGACGCGTAAGCCCAGGGGGTTCGCCATTTTTCTGTATAAAACCGCGGAAGGTGCCAGGAAAGCGCTCGAGGAGCCTTTCAGGGTGTTTGATGGTTGTAACTTGTATTGCAAAAAGTATGTAGAGAATTTCAATAACAGCACTAACAACGCTGCTGCAAATCAACCCGTGCAGCAAAGCGATTCAATGGCTTATGGCATTGGAATGAACCCGGGAATCTTAGGAGATGGCAGCCTGTTCATGGCACAGAATCCTGGAATGGGATTGACAGCAAATCCTCTACTTGGAGGAAACTATGGTTTGAATACCTTAAATCCCGGTATGATAGGCAATTATGGTTCACATGTGGCACTGCACGGTTTGGTGCCCTTCCAAACTGCAACGCCCAGGCCAGCATCCACACCTCCAAACACTCGGCCCGACTTTGGATCTGCAGGGGCATCCTTCCCCCCATATATGGGCCACTAGGTACGAGTTTTGGAATTCTCTATTTGCCTTGTCCCTTTGTTTTGTGCCTTCAGATTGTCATAATATATATATACATTTAATCTGAATTTCATATGCGAAGTTTAATTTCAATGAGTATGGGATATCTGCATTGAACTTTAAGCTAGTTGTGAATTTGTGATTGAATAATGCAAAGAGGAAACTACAAAATGTTTAATGCTAAATTGGTTGCCTTGAGATACTATGACTATATGATGTATAAGAACAAAAGTTATTGAGAGACTATGAAAAGCCAAATTGAATTGAAAATAGGAATTCAATTTCAAGAACTGATTAAAACCTTCATAGGGGATAAATAATTTCCAATTTTAATGATATAGAGACTCGATTTACTAGCTGCCTTCTTGATCAGCCTGCAATATTAAGATCTAATGTAAAAAAAAATTAACTACCATTGCTACCTTACCCCGTTGTTATTTATTTTCTTTCTGGTTGTGTGGGTGCCAACTGTGAAAAGGCCAACTTGGGGAGTTGGGGTCTTCACTTGCGTGATCTCCCCTGTACAGGTCAGGAGATGTGTTGTTTATAGCAACTAAAGGGACCAAGAAGTAGTGCTCGGCTGCTCGCTCTATACAATAGAAGAACAAAGCTCCAAAAGCTATACAAGTTTGAGCCTATCCAAAATATGAAAGAAAGATAGAGCAATGTTAGGTGTGTTTCTCCTTGTGACCGAAAGAAAAGGGTTCTCAGAAATGGTCTTTGAATTTATCCAAAGGCATCTGATGCCCCTTCAGAACAGCATCAATTTCTTTTGTTCTAAACAAGCTAAAGCAAACTCGGAGGAGATAGAGACCATGCTCTGTGTCTCATATTATTCCCGTTGAGATTCTAACCTTGCAGAGCATCTTGAATCTTGATCAGACTTCAGAGAATGTCATTATCCATTGAATACCTCCCAGAAGAAGTCCAGACACAATGCAACAGCAGATGATTTGTTCCTTCTTCAGCATTAAGGCAAAGGGGGTTGAAATTAATATGAAAAATTCCCACCTTCTAAGATTATCTCCTCTAGAAACTCCTCTCTCAAGCCTTCCCTAGCAAAAATATAAACTTTGAAATGGGGAGGGGCAATCCAGCCCTGCAAATCTGTTTCCAAGGGAATGTTTTCAGATTTTCAGAGATTATAATGGTTTAAACCCTGTTAAAAGATTTGGGTGAGATCTTTCTACTGGATTAGTAGTGGATTTCATCCAAACTATTTTGTTTTCTACCTCTGCATCTCAATCATTATTCCATGGACCATAAGTAAAAAGTATATTTTTAATATACTAAAATTATATTATTTGTGTACATAAAAGACATTATCTGAGTACTAAAAGTACATTATTTTGTATTATTATGCAGCAATCGACATTGATAATATGAAAATGGGGTTTGGCTGCATACTTAGGAACTCTGAGGGCACCCTGGTTGCAGCGAAACAATTCCAATGGCGGGGTAATTTCTCCTCTACCGCGGCTGAGGCTATTGGTGTTCGTGAAGCTTTAAGCTCAAGTCAGTCATATTCAAGTGGAATCTGATGCCAGGCAGGTTATTGAAGGATTGCAGTTTGAATCATATATTTATACTCTTGATCTCATTTTAAGGGATATTAAGGAAATAGCAAAGTTGTTTTGTTGATATTAGCTTTGTATTTGCTAAACGACCTGCGAATATGACAGTCCATTTGCTAGTTAGGGATGCCATTTCTAGGACAACGTGTGCCAAGTGGAGTTATGCTCCTTTCTCAGCTTTGCTTGATGTTACTACTTCGGACGCTCTAAGTTAATGGAAAGTCTCTCCTTTTCTCTAAAAAAAAGTATATTATTTTGTATATTATTAAATAATGTACATTTAGTATACAAATAGTTTATTTTTAATATTAGGCTCCTTCAAGGATTCTAGCTTCCAATTTATGGAATAGTTTGTGATTCAAACTTTTTGTAGCTTAGCTAGAGAAGTTGTTTTTGTGTCCGATTGTAAAGAGATTCCATTGAACTTTCTTGTAATCATTCCTATTTATAACTAATGAATTAGTCCTTATTTAAAAAAAAAAATACTTTTAATATTAAAAATGTACTTTGTAATTTGCTTCTGCATCTATTGTTGATCCTTATATTGCTTATCACTAATATACATGTTCATTTTTAATGTATTGATGATTTATTTTGAGCGCACTAAAAATTATTTTTTAAAAGTTCACTAGTATTTGCCCCGTGCGATGCACAGATAAAAATTTATAAGTATTGTTTTAATGTTATGATACATAGTAGAATTAATTTTATTAAAAATGTAAGTTTAGTTATACATTGTAATATTTAAATGTTAAAGACAATATATGACAAAAAGTGCATTCATATTGCTAACCTCATTTGCAATAATGATCTTACAAAGTTAAACGGACAGAGAAAGACCCGGACCACCTTGTGGTTTACAAAAAAAAAAAAAAAATCTTACAAACCACCTCGTGGTTTACAAAAAAAAAAAATAATCTTACAAATCTATTAATATGCATTCACAGTTAGGCGGAAAAAATTTTTCCCTACTTAATTTTACTTTACCTAACTTTCTTTGTAAATAAATTATTAAAAAACTAATCAAAATTACAAACTATTAAAAAGTTAGTACATATTATATAATCAAAATTGATATATAATACTCGTAGAAATTAATTCATGATTACATGAATTTATAAATTTGTACGTATTTTTTTTTATCTTGCATCTTTGTGTTGTATAAACTCAACAATCTCTTTCATATATATATATATATATATATATATATATATATATATATATATATATATATATATATATATATATATATAAAGACTTATGATGATTATTAAGTTCCTAAACCTTTGATATTCCATAACTCTTAAATGCACAAAATGGAGGGAAAAAATTTTTTACCTTAATTCTGCTATATTATATATAGAGAATAGAGATATGTAGTGTGTACTGCATGTTTATCTTTTATATACTATTTGAAAACATATAGTACATCGAAAAAAACTTTTTTTAAAAGGAAAAAAAAAATCGATGTACTATATGTTTATTTTTCAAAGAGTATATAAAAAATAAACATATAATGCATCAAAAGAACTTTTAGTATACTAAAATGAATATTTATTAATGTGCCACACTATTAATTTGCCATCCTAGTCTTGAAAGTGCTTTACTGCCTTCTAATTGTGATAATCCAGAGAACCTGAGAGGTATAAAGAGTCTGCTCATGGTAGACAGAGTATAGATGAGGGAAAGAGAGCTGAAGAGGGGAGGTCCCCCACAACAAAAATCACCCCAAAAATTTAATTGTGTACCCATTCCCAATATCAAAATGAAGGTGATGTGCCGACTAGTTCGCCAACTTTTATAATTGAAAAAGTATCTGAATTATTTTGAGAAGGTAAACTTAATTCATTAAATCATAATGGAGAACGTTTACAAGAAAAGATGGAGGGGAGTCAAGCCACTCCCCGCAACCTGACAAAGAAAAGGCCCCCCTAACAACACAGTGAGCGGCACGATTCGCACATCGCTTAACAAAAGTATCTGAATTTTTGTTAGAGCAATCTCATTAGTTATGATTTTTTTTGAGATTTTTATTATGCCAACTACATCTATTTCTATTTGTTCAAAAATCCATTTCTAAGTTTCATTTTTTTTTTATCTGCAAAGACCCACAAATAAATAAAATAAAATAAAATAATCACAAATGCGGTTGCTCTTAAAGCAAAACTACATCTACTCCCATCTTATATTCCATTTTCTATTCTCAATGAGATGTCCTACAATGATTGCTTTAAAAAATTAAGCAGTTCACCATTTTTATTCAAGTTTTATTACATGTATTTTCAAATCTTACTCACCCAACTTTACTCCATAATATGACGGGCTCTGATAAGCTACTTTTTTCATGTGTGTCTCAATACAAGTGCCTATATCAATAGAGTTCTACTACATGTACTCCCTAAATTTTACTCCATGATGTGACAGATTCTGATAAGTTATTTTTTTTGGGAGTACATGTAGCATTTTTCATATCATTATTTTGTGTGGAAGTAAAAAATGAGAATACACATATCATTTTTCTTTTTATTCATTCACTTTTTCTTTGTCCAATAGAATATGTATATTTTGCAGGAGTAATACTCCTTGGGAGTACACCTACAATGATTGCTTTAAAAAAAATAGGGCGGTCCACCATTTTTATTCATTCACTTTTCTTTTCCAATAGAATATGTGCACGTCACGGGAGTAATACTCATTTGGAGTACATTTAGTATTTTTCTTTTTGTTATCCCTCCCGATGGGACACTAATTAGACCCTTAGAGGCGTTTGGTTCACGGAATGTTAGATTACCTCACGGAATGTTAGATTCTCGTGTTTGGTTTAAAACTAAGATATGTAGATAAGACAATAGTAATAAGACAAATTGATTAAAATGTCAAAAGCCCAAAATTAGTTATAAGACAAGGGAATGTGAGATTACCTGAGAAATTGGAGGGTATTTCACATTTCCTTTCAATAGCTAAAAATTCAATGTGGAGGTTATGTGAATTTCATGGGAAAATTATATAACTTGCACCAAATATAAAATTCTTATATTCCCAAGCAAATATAACATTAGTTATCTTATATAACTTGAACCAAACAACCCTTACTCTTTGAAGACATCGTGAGGCATGCTAGACTTGAGACTCTTCATATTGAATTGTAATTTATTAAATTTAGAATTAATCACTGTTAGTTATTTTTAAAAATTAAAAAAAAAAAAATCTTAAAGAACATGGTTTACAAGATTAACATAAATGGAAGGTCTAGATAAATTCAGACTTTTACAACACCTAAACACTATCAGAAGGAAAATTTTAAAATTAATTAAAGCTATGGATCTTAGAAGATCTAACGACTGTAAATGCCATCGTGTTTTTTTAATGAATGTACTATGTAATTTTATTTAAGCTACTAATAAGTTAATAATTTAAAATAAGAGCTTATTATAAAACGCTACCTTAGGTAGCGTTTCAAAAATAAACTAGTAGCTTTCTAATTTTTTTTTTATCCTTATTATTTTAAATAAATGACATCATTTACCTCACAATTAAAACCTTTTTCTCTTCTCTTCAACTTTCACCACCCATCAATCCCTTCATCAACGAAAATTTAAGTCAGGTCTCTATTGAGATGAAAGAGATTCTCAACAATATTGCTACTTAATTATGGAATGCTAAATCATGATTGTGCTAATAGTTTCATTTTAAAATGTTAAATTTTAATATGTAAACAAACCAATTTAAATTTTATGAAGATTTCATTTTTAGTCTTTTTACATTTATCAGCTTATCAAAAAATTAATTTTACCAAACACTTTTAAGCATAACTACTAGCTTAACAGCTCTTCAGTTTTCAGCTTCTAACTTATAGCTTTCAGCTACCTTTTCAGCTAAGATTGTCGAACATAGCCTACTCGCAATCTAGTACTCTGTATTTTATAATGTATCATTAATTGCACTTTAACTTTTATATTTTTTTTCTTTACTTTTTTCAAATATGTTAGATTTTTTTAAACTGCTCTGATTAGTTCTTACTTCTCTCAGGAAAAGTGATTTTTATGAAAGTATATATAATATATAATCTAACTAATAGTTTAACTTTTTAGTTGAAATAAAATATATTATTCATTTTTTTTTCATTAGTTCTTTGGTTTCAATGCATGAATAAATCTCCAAAAAAATTGGGGAAAAATGTTCTGCGAGGAAAACCTTTTCCATGTTTTTAAAAAAAAAAAAAAAATTAAATGAACTTGAGTGAAAACTGTTCATGGAAAGACCTAAAGTAATCTTATTTTAATACAAACTTAATTAACATTACTGGACCACACAATCAATACTACCATTACTGCCACCGTTGACGTTTACACACTCATTATTTTCACCACCGCTAAACTTAAGACTTTGTGAGAAGTTTGATTTTTTTTTTTTTTTTTAACAATATAATCAATTATTTGTCAGTATATATTATTCTTCATGTCTATGTGTATGGTTCAAGTAATAAAGTTTGATTTAAGTTATTTATAATTTAATATTTATATTGTTTAGTTTAGTGTTTGTTGGGGTTATATACCCTAGCGGCCTAGCCTAATTCTTCTGCCGTTTAATGAGCATGGTTGAAAAAATCGTTAAGCTTTCGGAGGCATCTAGGCGGTGATTAATCGGCGCCTAGATGTCCGTGTATTTTTCTTTTATTTTTTATTTTTTAAAAAATTTATTTAATTTTTTTAAATATTTTAAAATTTAATAATTATAAACTATTTAATACTTTAATAATTAATACTAAAATATTAAGTTTTTTCTAAAAAAAAAATCTAGAGTTTGAACAATTTAAGGTATTTCTCTCAAAACGATGTCGTTTTGAGTGAAATAACCTATTTTAAAAAGAAAGAAACAATAGTTAATCGACCGACTAGACGACTTAGTTAGTGCCTAGGAGGCCTAGGCGGTCAGCACCTAGGCGGCCTAATCAGCCGGCCAACGCCAAGCGTTGCCTAAGCAGTATTTTGCAACATTGCTAATGAGATGAGTCCAAGCAAATTTAGGGTGTGTTTGGTTGGTGGGTTTTGCACATAGGAATGGGTATAAAAGTGATTGTTGTTGTTTGGTTGATAGATTTTTAGAACACTACTATGGGTTTCAAA